CTTCCTGTGTAGCTGGGATGACAGACACATGTCTCCACCCTGGATTGTCCCTATCTCTGCCTCCCAAGTAGCTAGGATTACAGGCTTAAGCCATATTATACTGCTTTTTAATCACTATCTTAGGGTATACTCCTTATTTAAAAAAAAACCCAGCTAACTGTGCAACAGCCTCAGGCAGGTCCTGCAGGAGGTGTTGCAGAAGGCATTGCTGTCACAGCTGATGGCAGCTCCATGCGGGTTACAGCCCCTGAAGACCTTCAGTGGGACAAGAGGTGGAGGACGGCGGTACTGAAGAGCCTGACTCTGTGCAGGCGTATACTGATGGGTGTGTCTACGTCTTATTTATAACCAAAATAGCTTAAAAAGTAAATAAATATTTTTAAACAGAAAAAGCTTATAGAATAAGAAAATATTTAGTAAGAAGTTATCTTTGTACAGTTGTACAATGCACTTGTATTTTAAGCAAAATGTTTATAATAGTTAAAAGTTACAGAAAGGTATGGTTAATTTATTACTGAAAAAAGGGTTTTTAAAAATAAATTCAGTGTAGCCTGAGTGTACAGGGTTTATGGTCTATGGAAGTATACAGTAGTGTCTGCAGCCATCAGTCACTCACCACTCATCCACTGAGTCCCCAGAGCAACATCCAGTCCTGCCCACTCCATTCACAGTAGTGTCCTTACAGATGCACTGTTTTCATCTATTACATTGTATTTCTACAGTTCCTTTGCTATTTTAGCTATGTTTACATACACACTTACTATCTGATACAACTGTCTACAGTATTCTCACTGTAGTAACACACTAGAGGTTTGTAGCCTAGGAGCAATAGGCTGTGCCATGTGGCCTAAGTGAAAAGTAGCTATTCCATTTAGTTTGTGTAAGTCAATTTATGACATCTGCACAATGACAAAATTGTGTAAACACATTTCTCAGAATGGGATCCCATGACTGTACAAAAGACACATATTAATCTATTAGAAAAAGATACAAATATATATTTTAAAAGAAAGATATGTATACTACAAATTTTAAAAGCAAAAACTGACTGCTTGCTACCATAGAGCTTTTGAGAAGTTGATTAATAAAAGGGGCCCTTACACAAAATCCTAAGCTACATATATGAGTATATCCAAGAAATGTACACATAAGAACCTAACTCATAATACAATAGGGATTTAAATTTTATTATGACAAATGCCCTCCAAATTGTATAAAAACCGCAAAAATTAATGGAATACAAGCTACTTATTAATAGTCAGTAATTCTTCAACTAATATATGTGCACTTTACTCATTATTTGCTAAAATGTGTATTGAGCAGTATGGCAGGGATGACGTGAAAATTAGTGAGTTATTCACACCTTGATTAACATTTTATAACTTTATGAATTTCTGACAGAAATAAGGATGATTTTCCTCTAGGGGAACAGAATTTAAATGGCATCGGTACAACTGAACAAAATGGAACAATTTCTCTTTGTTTCTGGCTGACTCAAGAGTCATTTATCAAATTATTTAAAAGTGTTATTTAAAGATATGTAATATTTCTGCAACGATCTGATAAGAACTCAAGCTTCCACAGTACCCGTTTTTATGAGCCCAATTTAGCTTCAGCTAGTTCTTTGAGAACCTTTGTTTTCAGCTTAGTTCCAAGCGTGCTTTACATTCACTGTGGAAAGCTCACCTATACAGATCATTCACAGACATTTACCCATGCTGGACTCTATATTTTTAAATCTATATTCAAATGAAGATTATCTATCATGGGTTAACTTTATATATCTGTCACAAAAGAAAAATGTCACTCAGGATTTTGTCTCAATCCAAATCCAATCCAAACAGTGTTTCTGCAAAGCTAACGATACGCTGGCAGTGTGGAATCCCCCACAGAACAAAGGATCAGAACTGGAGGACAAGATCCCTTACATATCTTCATTCTGCTTTTCTTGAGTGAGAGTTCAACTCCAAGTCAAACCAATCCTCCTCACGAGTGAAGTCAAATCACAATTCATGATGACATATTATGTGCTATCCTTCACCATTTCTATTTTTATAGCTATTACTAGTACAATGTCACTAAGGTAGGGAAAAACCTAAAGGAATATTATAGACACAATAATAAAAGGACTGAAAAAATTTTTTCCCAAGCAGGCTGATTTTCACCCAGATAATTATGTAAAAAAACCCAAAAACAAATATGGTCTATAGCTCAGTGTCTTGCATCTTACTTTGCAAGGTAAGCTAGTGTGGAGCACAGTAGCAGTCTAACTAAACTGCTCGATTTTTTTTCAGGGCTGTTCCATACCATCCTTTGGACCCTCTGCTGGAAAAGTAGAATCCAGTGTCACATAGTGTCTTTTAGTTATATCCTCTAGTATCACACCTGGGAGACAGCATGTCTCAGACTCTGTGAATGTAAAATATCTTACACCTGCTTTATGACATGTCATCGTGACCGTGCTTTATCAGGGCTGTTGTTCGAGATGTTACTCTAGAAGGTTTTCTTTCCAGATTATAACTGAGACGCTAATAAAAAAAAATGGTGCCAGGTTCTCCAACAGTAAAAACAAAACAAAACTGCTTGAGTATACTGCACCACTTAGTAAAATACATTTATAAATTATATTCTTAAATTAAAATTGAGAATGACAAAGTTCTGCCAGGCTAAGTCTCCTATCTAAAAAAAAAATAATAAAGGAAAGGGACAAATAAAGAAATCAACTATTTAAGAGAAGAGTTATCTTACATAAGCGAGAACTAGAATTTACTAGTGCACAGAATTCACTGTCCTAATAAAGATAACACATGTCCAGTGATGTGCATATTAAAAAAAAGACCACATCCTAATTCCATGATTAAAGTGAAAAGTTTTTAAAGAAAGAAAAAGATAATTCACAGAATGGGAAAAAGAGTTTGCAAATCATACATCTGATGAGAGACATATCTAGAATACATAAAGAACTTTTATAACTTATCAATAAAAAGGCAACTTAATTTAAAAATGGGCAAAAGATTTGAACAGACATTTCTCAAAAGACATACACAAATGGCCAAAAAGCACATGAAAAAATGCTCAATAAGATTAGTCATAGCATAAGGCAAGCCAGAACCATAATGAGTCACTACTTTGCACACCCAACAGTACAGGTATAGCTTTTTAAAACATGGATAATAATAAATGGTGACAATGTGGAGCTATAGGAATCTCTATGCATTACTGTAAGACTGTAAAGTGATGGAAGTGCTCTGGAAAACAGTTTGGCAGCTCCTCAAAAAACTATACACTGGGTTAGCTTAGGACCAGCGATTCCACTCCTAGACAGTTGCCAAAGCAGATGTAAATAGACACCCACACCAAAATTGTATAGAAATGTTCATAGCAGCATTGCCTCTTTTTTTTTTTTAATGGTTCTGAGGATTTGAATTCAGGGACTTGTGCTTGCTAAGCAGGCACTCTATCACTTGAGCCATGCCCCAACCCATAGTAGCATTTTAATAGACAAAAATCCATCAGCTGATGAAAAGAAAGATGAAATATGATATATCCATACAATAAAATATTATTTGGCAATAAAAAGAAATGCTACAATGTGGATTAACCATGAAAATATTACACTAAACCCAAGAAGGCAGTCACAAAAGATTACATAGTATCTGAGTCCATTATCTGAAATGTACAGAATAAGGAAATCCAGAGAGACGGAAAGTAGATCAGTGGTTGCCAGGGCTGGGCAGTAGGGAAGATAATCCTCCAATGAATGTGGAGCTTCTTGGGGGAAGGGTCAAAATGTTCTGAAATTAGATAATAGTGATGACTATAACTCTGTGGATATACCAAAACCCACTTAATTGTACATTTTACAAGTGAATTTTGTGGTATATGAATTACATCTCAATAAAGCTGTTATTTTAAAAATAAAATGAATAAATTGAAAAGCATAATTTTCAATCAGCATAATTTTCAAATAGCAGCTAAATGACATGAATATTTTTGGTGTATGGTATACATTTTATTAATAAGATCATGACTGTGCTAGAAAAATAAATGGAAAGGTCCCTTTGGGGAATCTTAAGATTGACATTAAAATTGGACAAGTATGTTTATAAAAGCAACCTAATTCTAGGACGTTTCAGGCCAAAGGCACTCAGGCTGCTAGGAGGCTTTTCCAAAAATGACTTTTTTGAGAAGGCCCAAAATGTGCCACAGATTTCTTCTTTCTATATTCTCTACACATCTGTTCTTCCTTGTCCATGTTTCTATTTTTGGCCAATTAGATTTAAAGAATGAGCTCCCAAACTCCTTTACATAACAATAACCCAGATTAAATAAACACTGAATGTCTGAATTGCAGAACCTTGGAATGTTAGAATTACAGGGATAGGGCCTTGTATAATTATTCTATCCTCCTCTCAATCCATTCCAGTTAGGCTGACATACTCCAGAAATGCAAGTTACCTGATTCTTTTAAATTCTGAGAGACAAGATTTAAATACTTCTTTTAGGCATAGCTGTTATTTTTTAAAAAAACTTGTCCTCACCAAATAAAACTGACAGCAATATGAAGTTGGTTCAGATAAATAATAATGAAAAAATATTACATTGTCTTTTATTATATGCCTGACTCAACATCATTTGGCTTCAAAGGGCAACTGAATGAATACCTTAATACTGATAGGAGAGCACTACATTTTTTTTTCAAAAATAACTTCACTATAAAAAAAATTCAGCTTTGGGACAGATATCAACATTAAATCTAACCACATACTATCAATAGCACAATCTTGCAGCTGCCCTCAGCCCTGAGGTACATCAACTGTATGGAGGGCCTAAATTCAGGTGGATTTCCTGGATGTTATCTATGCTGTGATTCCTATCTTTCTGAGAGGAAAAAAGGACTGCATCCTAGCAAACTGGACCAATGGTTTTAGAAGTGCGGACGGCGCAGAATTCTCAGAGGTATAAGGATGAGGGACTCAAGGTCACCCCACGTGCCATACCTGGTATGCACTGTGCTGTGGCCTCGGTGGTTATGGTTGGAGCAACTGGGGGCTGCTGTTGACTGGAGCTCACTTCAGGCTCAGTGTTAATGGAGGGAGAAAGGGCTACCTCACAGGATGATACCTGGCTGGGTAGGTGGGACAGGAACTCCTCAGAAGCAGCTTGCTCATCCTGTCCAGGCAGTTGCAGGGCAGACAAAGGGATACTGATCTGTTTGTTGGGGTGGGACGTACTCACAGGCATCTGCATGGCCACCTGCTGGCTGGTGCCATGTGCACCAGGAGGTCCTCTGTTAGGTGAAGCCAGAGATACCCTAGCAGTCTTTGGGATGATTGGTCTGGAGATCACAGAGGGGGATGCTGACATAACATGTGGGTCTAATTCTGTGCTGATGGCAGATGTTACATGGGGAATCAGCTTAGCAGAGCCTACACAGGAGGGACCAGCATGAGTCTGAGGCTTGGGTTTTGCCATTTGTGTCAAGGAAAGTGCTGGCCCATCTACCCCTCCAGTCAACTCTGCATTCGCCACAATGTAATAATCTTCTGGGATCTCTTGTTTGATTTTCTTGATAATGACATCATTACTGCATTCATCAACCATCTGCATCTGGGAGCTTGAATGGAGGGAAGTCGGGACTACTCCCGGCCTTTTGCGAGAAATGCTTTGAGGCCTTTGGGTTTGGGGTTCAAAGTCACTATCCTCATCTGTAACAGAAGACTCACAAACCATGTCAAACAGGGTGTTTTCATCTTCATACTCTTCAACAGCTTCATCCAGTTCAGAGGGCTCACTGCAATAGGAGAAGTCACAAGAGTCCCTGGTCCTGTTACAGTCTAGCTTTGCTTTCACTGGTCTCCCAGGGTACCTTTCCACAGGGCTAGTCTGTGTCTCAGAAGGCACCCCAATTATACTGGGACTATCAGAGTTAAAACTTCGGTTGTCCTGGAAACACACCCTCTCTTGAGACCCAGCTCGGCAAGTAGCTGTTAGTGGCCAGTGGTAAGCATGGCCAGCGCTGCAGCCCCACATGGCCGTCAGGTTCCCATGAGAACCTTCGGAAAGCAAGTGTTTCAGGTTTGGAATGAGGCTGCATATGGTCCCATGGCTGTGGGCCCAGCTGACCAACTTGGACAGATTCTCAGATGAGGTATGAAGACAATCCTCCATGTTACAGGATCAGCAGTGTCTTTCCTAAAGAGACATAATGAAAATAAGGAAATATTATTACCCAAGACATTCCCATTCCACAATTCGTTTCTTCTAACTATGATCATCTGATTTAAAAAAAAGAAATGCTCTTCAAAGAACAGCATCTAGTTAATATCACTGTACACAGACAGGGACTAGAAGAGAATGTGGGAAAGAGTAAAAACAGCTCGTGACTTGTAGTTGTGAGATTTGGAGAATAAGGCCTGCACAAAACAAATAAACAAACAAACAAAAAACAAGTAAGCAATAAAAAAAAAAAAAAAGAGATGACCTTTCTCATGGTGCATTTTCTTCCCAAAGTTGTCAAAAGAGGTTCAATACTTTAATAATGAATGATATAAACTACTCTTCCAGTGTCATACTTTAGAAATCTTCATGTTTTACAGTGGCAGAGCCAGAGGGGAGACTGGATCTACTCCAGGTAGGTGTCAGAAAAGGGAAGTCAACCCTCTTCTGGGCACCAGAAAAACAAGGCAACTGGGAGTCTAAAAGCAGAATGTGACACTAAGTTTAGGAAGTGGGAAAAAGTCTGTAGCAAAGGGAGAACAGACCAGGAGACTGGATGGCGGGGCAGCCTGTAGATTAGAAGCAAGGATGTCAAGGCTGGGGTCAGTGCTCTAGCCACTCGTAGGAGCAATGTTCTATTCGCTCCCCATCTCCTGGCTATCTGAAATGTCTGAAATATTGCCTTTCATCCCACAATTAAAGGTAAGAGACATGTCTAATATATTCCACCAGCTGAGGGTGCCACAAACCCAAGGATAAGCAACTAGCAAAAAGGAGTAAACCATTCCTTAATGGGCTTGCTATGAGTCATGGGCTGGGTGACAGCCAGACAAGATGGGTAGAAAAGTCAAAGGGGCATGTGAAGTCTTCAAAGTTACCACAGCTCCACCAAGAGGGAGGTCCTGGGGATGGGGGCAGGGAGCACAAAGATCTTCATGTGTGGTTAGTCTGTCCTGTGGGTAACAAGAGGTGTCTTGCTGGAAGTAGGCTCTGCACTAAGGCACAAGATAACTGCGATGCCAGGTGGCTGTGCCAAAATGTGTATCTGAGACTCCATTTCCTACTCTGGCCCTGAGGGCCCCCCTTTCCCCCCTCCATCAATGGGAATGAATTTAAATCCATTAACATACACTTGAGGTATGTTAATGGGGCTGATCACAGCCTCACTTCCTACTCTCGGGGTCCCATACTTCTAGTGGTTCCCTCTTCTTTAACAGCTTCTCACCTCCAGAGTTTCCAAAACTTTTTTCTTCTTTTTGGGATACTGGGGTTTGAACTCAGGGCCTTATGTTTGCTAAGCAGGTGCTCTTCTGCTTAAGCCACACTCCAGCTCCCCCCACCCCATCTCCTTTCTTTTGCTTTAGTTATTTTACAGGTAGGGTCTCATGTTTTTGTCTGGAACTGGCCTCAGACAGTGATCTTCCAATGCAGCTGGGACCACAGACACATACCACCACTTCTGGCTTGATGGCTGAGATGGGTTCTCACTAACTGTGTTTCTCCCAATCTCTGCCTCCTGAGTAGCTGAGCTTACAGGTATGAACTACCACATCTAGCCTAAAAACTCATTCTTTGGCTTAACGTGCAGCCTTCTCTTTCCTTACTTGGAATGCCTCTTCAAGATTAAACTTGGGGTTCTTCCTTGCTGAAGTCTCTCCAAACTCCCTCTCTGCACCTGAGTTTACTTAGATTGCCTTCATAGCAACTCATCACCTCTAGAGGAATTGCCTTTGTTGTACCACCACTGACTTTCTTGTCTACCAGACTTGACTGAGGACTCCCTAGGGGCAAGGATTCTGACTTAATTACTAATCCATCAGTGAGACTACTTGGGGTACAGAAATTAACAAAACATATCCTGCCCTTCAGAAATCATAATCTACTGTTTGGCACATAGATAGCTAATGCTGAATAAAGGAATAAAGAATAAATGAGAATATAAATACCACCAGCACCATCAACACCAACAGAGCAAACAGAGAAGACCCTCAATTAAGAACCATGTAATTTCCTCTGATCACTTCTATTATAATCATTCCTGCAATTAGAAGGAGGGTTTTTCTCCCCAATGATGTAACCATAACACAGATGTCCTGTGTGTATAGGAGAATACAGGCTGAGTATATCCCTCATCCAAAATGCTTAGGACCAGAGTATTTCAAATTTCAGTGATTTTGGATTTTGCTACTGGTTGAACATTTCCTAATCCAAATTCTGAAACCCAAAGTGTTCTGAAATCCTAAACTATTTGAATGCGTGTCCATGTCAAAAATTTCAGACTTTGGAGCATTTAAAATTTTGGATTTATGAGTTATAGATGCTCAACCTTTAATACCTGAGCAACCAAAATTTGGGAAGCAGCACAGTAAATGCAAAAGCGCTGACTGGTGCAGGCACCAGGAACTTAAAATTCGAGGTCTGGAACTATGTTTTGTGGCCTTGAACAAGCCCTAATGATCTCAAAGTCTAACACAACATGATCTTGTATTTCCTTCAAACCATAACGACTAAGGAACTTATCTCTCTTAAATTCTTTTTATTCAGTTTGGTGAAAGTAGAAGCATAGATAAAAAAGAAAGCTTGTTTTGTGTGTTTGTTCTGAGCTCCTTAAAACATAGCAGCTACCTATTTGATTTGTGTGACTCTGCTCTTTGGCTACCTTTTGTTCACTTTCTTCTTATTCCTTACAGAGTCCTAATTTGTTGGGACAGTAATGTGCTTGCTCAGTTAAGATACTTCCCAGCTTTTCTTGAAATAGTGGTAGCATTTGTCCCAGTTCTGGAAGTCAGTAGGTGGCTTGGGAAAGCTCTTTGCAACACACATTTGTCTGTTTTACCTCTGCTCCTTGTCCTCCTTTCTTCCTGCCTGGAAAAAGCCATGAAGGATGCAGCTCCCTGGGAATAGGCCTCTTAGAAGCAGGAAACAAAGAACTTAAGGATGGGAGAGACCAGCCAGAAGGTGCTCAGGTCCCTGGTGACATCATGGATCTGCCTTTAGGACTCCTTTTTAGTCATCAGAGGAGGATAAACTCCTGACCTGATTGTTTAAGCCAGTGTAATTGCGGTTTTTTTGTTACTAGAACACACAAAATAATACATTCACCTCTAGTTTTTAACATGTAAAATTAGAATCTTTAACTCGTCTGCACCATACTCTAATACAATTGTTACTTTGATGGGCCTCCACAGATAAATTCTTGGTAGAGCTTTTTAAAAATTTATCACGTGAATAATACGAGGGCATTTCACTGTGAGAGTTCCACACATGCATACGGTTTACCTTGAGCAAGTTCACCCCCGCTATATGTCCCCATTTCCCTGTCCCCCGCTTCCTCTTCCCCACTCTCAAATAGTGTTTGGTGGCTTTCACTATGTTGCCTTCATATGTACAAAGCGGACTTCCATCTTCTTCACACCTCAGTATTCTTTCCTTGTCCTCCCCCTTCCTCGGGAGATCTTAAGTTCTGCCTCAGAACATTTACATTTTAATCCTAGTAAAAACACTGTGAATGTAAGTACACTATGAATCATCGGAATAAGCACTTGTCTCCAAGTGCGGCAGTGTAATTTCAACACCCCTCCGCCTTTATCTGTACTCACATGAGGGCCCATGATCACCAAATGTGAATCACTCAACTTCTAATTTATTGGGAAACCTGTTCATGCTGTTCTTTTTAGTAGATAGAAATTAGAAATGTCTCTTTTGCATTAATAATTCTCAAATAAAAGGCATCAGAATTTGACATGATCATGGCCTCTGATTGATGGTGGAGTAATACACCACTCTAAATGTCACTGCACAAGGAGAAAAGAGAGCGATGAAATAAATGATGTATGCCCACAGAAAACCATGTACCTTGTAGCACGACAGTTGGTGAAGACAGAGATGTTGCAACAGTTCAAACATAAAAATGTGGCAGAATCAAAGCACAAAATTGTAAACAGACATAAAGAACTCAAAAGAACTTATCGCCCAGGAAAAAGCCACAGTACAAAAGTGAATAGTGTCTTTTCTGAAGATCCTACAGCCACATGAAAAAAGTTATAATTAAAATAACAAAAGAAAAAATGGGTAAAGTTATAAACTTTTATTAAAGCTTATTCACTTAATTCCATAACATTCACCAACCTTTAAGAGTCAGCAGAAGGTAACAGCCATAACTCACTCATCACATTCTGAAGTTCACCTCATGAGAAGGCTCTTAAACTTTTTGAGTTCCAGCAAGAGAAAACGAATCTCCAGTGTTCCTACTGTCTATATCAACCTGGCCACCAAAGTTAACTTGTAGTTAGGAGAGTGTCATCAGCTGATACAGTGGCTAGAGTCCAAGCTGTAAAGAACAGCTGTCAATATATGTCAATATGCTATAAGTTTAATACAAAATGAAATCAGTAAGACAAAGGATTTTCAGTAGGCTGTGCTGAAAACTAACACTTTTTATACATTTTCAAGAATTGAGAAAATGATTTCATATGGTACTTTCCAATATAACTGGATTAGATACTCATCCTTATAGAGTTACCAAGTGATACATCACTAAATATTGAAATTTGAGGGGCCCTGGCTGGCAGAGCTTGGGCTTATGTGCGATATATGATTACGCTAAATTAGCAAACAAAGCTATGAAGTGATTAACACCACACTGTATGTTAACTTAAGCACGACACAGTATGCAGGACTGGAGGTATGGATCAAGCAGTAGAGTGCTTGCTTTGTGAGCACAAAGCCCTGAGTTCAAACCCAGTCCCTCTGAAGAGAAAGAGAGAGAGAGAGAAAGAGAGAGAGAGAGAAAGAGATGCTATGCATTAATATTTATGTTATTAAAGTCAAATTCAGAATCACACTAAGTATAGAATCTGATGTTCTACCATTAAGCCCACATTGACCATTAGATTTCAGTAGATCAGCAATATAACACAATTACTATTATACCTAATAACTTTTGGTCAATTATTATTTGCCAGGCACTGT